ATGTCGAAGTTAGCTACGTTCAGAACCAAGGTGGCTACAACAAAGGATACAACCCCTACAAGCCTGCTCATCCTAATCTATCTTACCGGAGCACGAACGTTGCAAACCCTCAGGATCAGGTTTACCCTCAGCAACAACAGAACCAGTCCAAGCCATACGTACCATACAATCAAGGCTTTGTCCCAAAGCAGCAGTTTAGTGGAGGTTATCAACAACATAATCCACCACCCGGTTTTGCACAACAACCCCATCAAGCTCCACCTGCACAAGATCAAGACAAGGTTCAGCAAATGCTTCAGCAGCTTCTACAAGGTCAAGCTACTGGTGCTTTGGTTCTTGATAAGAAATTGGCTGAGATTCAGAACAAAGTCGACTGCTCCTACAATGATCTAAATGTCAAGTTTGAGGCTCTAAACTCCAAGGTGAAGTACATGGAGAGCCAAGCTGCTTCTACTTCTGCACCTAAACATCCCGGACAACTACCCGGGAAAGCTATTCAGAATCCAAGAGAGTATGCTAATGCAATTCAACTCTGCAGTGGTCGAGAGCTGCGTGCTCGACCTAACCAAGATCCTGTCACTGAGGACAGTGAGATTCAAGAAGGGGAGGATTCTATTCAGAATGAAACTCCAGTAGAAGACACCACTAAGCTCGACCAAGAGTCTGCACCTAGTGATCAAGCTAAGAGCCCCCAGATCAAAGAACCAGTTGTTGATAAGAGTAAGAAGAAAGCTTTTGTTCCACCGCCATACAAGCCCAAAATACCATTCCCAGGAAGATTCAAGAGGGACATCATTGAGAAGTACAGAGCCATGTTTGCTAAACACATCAAAGAACTTGAAGTAAGGATGCCTCTCATTGATGCTTTCATGCTAATTCCAGATTCTCATAAGTTCTTGAAAGACATGGTAATGGAGAGAATTCAGGAAGTACAAGGAATGGTAGTGTTGAGCCATGAATGCAGTGCTATCATACAGAAGAAGATCATACCAAAGAAGCTTGGGGATCCCGGCTCATTTACTCTACCCTGTTCACTAGGCCCTTTGTTCTTCAGTAAATGCCTATGTGATCTAGGTGCATCAGTCAGTTTGATGCCACTCTCAGTAGCAAGAAGACTTGGTTTCAACAAGTATAAGTCCTGCCAAATCCAACTAATCTTAGCCGACAGATCCGTAAGAGTCCCTCATGGTATGTTAGAAGATCTACCCGTGAAGATTGGAAGAGTGGAGATCCCTACAGACTTAGATGACTGGTCTGAGCTCAAAGCACCTAAGGTAGACCTCAAACCACTTCCGCAAGGGCTAAGGTACGCATTTCTCGGAACAAACTCTACTTACCCTGTGATCATAAATGCTGCATTGAATGATGATGAAGTGAATTTGCTGTTGTCTGAGCTTAGGAAGTATAGAAAAGCTATCGGTTATTCGTTGTCTGATATAAAAGGAATTTCACCCAGCTTATGCAATCATAGAATTCACCTTGAAAACGAATCCTATTCTAGTATTGAACCACAGAGAAGGTTAAACCCTAACTTGAAAGAAGTAGTGAAAAAGGAAATTCTTAAATTGCTTGATGCTGATGTTATTTATCCAATCTCTGATAGTACATGGGTTTCACCTGTTCACTGTGTGCCTAAGAAGGGAGGAATGACTGTTGTTAGAAATGAAAAGGATGAATTGATTCCTACTAGGACTATAACAGGACATAGGATGTGTATCGACTATAGGAAATTAAACGCTGCATCTAGAAAAGATCACTTTCCTTTGCCATTCATTGATCAGATGCTAGAACGCTTAGCTAATCATCCATATTATTGCTTTCTTGACGGATATAGTGGTTTCTTTCAAATACCGATTCACCCTAATGATCAAGAAAAAACCACTTTTACATGCCCTTATGGAACTTTTGCCTATAAGAGAATGCCATTTGGTTTATGCAATGCTCCTGCAACTTTTCAGAGGTGTATGACCTCTATTTTCTCGGATTTGATCGAGGAGATGGTGGAGGTTTTCATGGACGATTTTTCGGTCTATGGCTCCTCCTTCTCCTCATGTTTGTTGAATCTTTGCAGGGTGTTGACCAGGTGTGAAGAGACTAATCTTGTTCTCAATTGGGAGAAGTGCCATTTTATGGTCAGGGAAGGCATTGTGTTGGGTCATAAGATATCTGAGAAGGGTATAGAGGTTGACAAGGGTAAAATTGAAGTGATGATGCAGTTACAACCACCAAAGACAGTCAAAGACATCAGAAGTTTCCTTGGCCACGCTGGGTTCTACAGGAGGTTTATTAAAGATTTCTCCAAGATAGCCAGACCATTAACAAGACTTCTATGCAAAGAGGCGGAGTTCGAATTTGATGAAGATTGCCTCAAAGCTTTCCATACCATCAAGGAAGCCTTGGTAACTGCTCCAGTAGTTCAAGCTCCTAATTGGGACTATCCATTCGAGATTATGTGTGACGCTTCAGATTACGCTGTGGGAGCTGTATTAGGCCAGAGAATCGACAAGAAACTTCACGTTATATACTACGCCAGCAGGACTCTAGATGAAGCCCAAGGAAGGTATGCAACAACGGAGAAGGAGCTTCTAGCTGTTGTATTTGCTTTTGAGAAGTTCAGGAGCTATTTGGTTGGATCAAAGGTCACTGTCTATACAGACCATGCTGCCCTGAGACATATATATGCCAAGAAGGACACTAAACCGAGACTGTTAAGATGGATACTGCTTCTGCAAGAGTTTGATATGGAAATAGTAGACAAGAAAGGGATTGAGAATGGTGCAGCTGACCATCTTTCTAGAATGAGAATGGAAGAAGCTACTCCGATAGACGATTCAATGCCTGAAGAGCAGCTGTTAGCTATCAAGAGTTACGAAATAGTGTACAACAAGAAGGAAATCGAAGTAGCTTGTGCTGTCAAGGAAGAAAGGTTTCCATGGTATGCTGACTTTGTGAATTATCTTATCTGTGGAGAGATCCCCAAATACCTTGATGCTTACCAGAAGAAGAAGTTCTTTAGAGACATCAACCACTACTACTGGGATGAACCCTATTTGTATAAGAAGGGTACTGATGGCCTTTTTAGAAGGTGTATTGCTGAAGAGGAAGTTCAAGGAGTGCTGGAACATTGTCATGGTTCTGCTTATGGCGGTCACTTTGCTACCTTCAAGACAGTACAGAAGGTTCTTCAAGCCGGCCTTTGGTGGCCTTCCATGTTTAAAGATGCATATGGATTCATTGCTAAATGTGATCCCTGCCAGAGAATGGGAAACATCACCAGGAGGAATGAAATGCCGCAGAACCCTATCCTTGAAGTAGAAGTCTTTGATGTGTGGGGAATTGATTTCATGGGACCATTCAATCCTGCTTCCTATGGTAATAAGTACATCCTAGTTGCTGTGGACTACGTCTCCAAATGGGTTGAGGCCATTGCATCTCCAACTAATGATCATAAGGTTGTCTTAAAGCTGTTCAAGAGCATCATATTCCCCAGATTTGGTATCCCTAAGGCTGTGATCAGTGATGGAGGTTCCCACTTTATCAACAAGGTCTTTGAGAGTCTGTTAAAGAAGCACGGTGTAAAACACAAGGTAGCTACTCCCTATCATCCTCAGACTAGCGGGCAAGTAGAAGTATCCAACCGTCAGATCAAGGCCATACTTGCAAGAGTTGTTGGTGTTTCAAGGAGAGACTGGTCTACTAAGTTAGATGATACACTTTGGGCTTACCGGACTGCATTCAAGACACCAATAGGAAGGACACCATTTCAGATGCTGTACGGGAAGTCATGTCATCTTCCAGTTGAGGTAGAGTACAAAGCAATCTGGGCTACTAAGTTGCTGAACTTGGATATCAAAGAAGCTCAAGAGAAGAGATCGGTTGACCTGCACGAACTTGAGGAAATAAGGCTTGAAGCTTATGAGAGTTCAAAGGTGTACAAGGAAAGAACAAAAGCTTTCCATGACAAGAAGATTGCACCAAAAGACTTCAAGCTGGAGACCAAGTGCTACTGTTCAACTCCAGACTCAAGCTATTTCCGGGAAAGCTCAAATCAAGGTGGTCTGGTCCTTTCACTATCAAAGAAGTTCTACCATTTGGTGCGATATCGCTATTTACTAAGGACGGGTCAGAGTTTAAGGTGAATGGTCAGCGACTTAAGAAGTATCTCGCGGATAGCGTCATTCCTGAAGGATCTACAGTCCATCTTCAGGAACCTCAACTCGCCTAAAAGAGTAGTAAAGTCAAGCTTAGTGACTTTAAACAAGCTCACTTGGGAGGAATTCCCATGTTTATCTTTGTAAATAGCTCTTTATCTCTTGTTATTTTTGATGTTTTTTTTTAGTGTCTGTGATTCTCAGGATTTAATCTGTTGGAGTCAGGAAAATGGAAGAATTGAGCAGACTCGACCAAGCCTACTCGATGACAAGTCGAGCCAGCCCAATGGACCAACTCCAAGCCTTAAACGAAGCCCAACTCGATGCTAAGCCAAGCCCAACACCTACAAGCCCATTAACTCGAGTCAACCTTCCTGTAAGTCAACTTTGGAGCCAAAATTCAAATTCAAAAATGGTCAAACGGTCCACTCGACCCCACGTCGAGCCACTACGTCGAGATCACGCTCAAAAAAATTCAAATTTCGAATCTTGCCGACATGCTCGACCCCACGTCGAGCCACCACGTCGAGAGCACGCTCAAACCGTTCAAAATTCAAATTTGAATCCTAGATCCGACAATCCCTGCTCCCACACGCTCCACCCTTGCTTTTGGTCTCCTTGGGCGTCTTTAAAAGGGAAGAAGAGCTCCTCTCACTCTCACTCTCTCATTTCTTCAAATTCTCTCATATTTTTTCACTTAAAAGCTCTAGTTCTCTCATTTCTCCTTTGCATTTGCGTTTTCAAGCTTTTAAAGTTCTCAAACTTTGGTTTTAAAACTCGATTTCAAGGTTTAAAACTCACTTCTCTTCTTTTAAAAACTCTATTCTCTGCTCATTTGATCCACTCTGCTCCTTGTGTTCTTTTCAAGGAAACTCCATGGATAGTGACCAAGAAAGAAAGAGCTTTCTGCAAGACATGCTGCACGTGGTTTTGCTATCATCAACAAGAGGATTCCAGCCTCTGCTTGGACCAGTCATGCCAATTTCGTGAGAGAAGATAGACCAGAACATGAAGGAGGCGAAACGGCGCTGAGTCAGGCAGGTTATGAGCCTACTCGACGTCACGTCGAGACTGCACATCGAGATGGCTCCTCGAGTTCAAGAAATGATGATGCTGAACGTGTGGCCAGAAGGAGAAGAGAGATAAGCCGCGGGAAGAGGGTTGTTGAAGCAGATTCTGAACCTGCACAAGAAGAGGCTGTTGAAATGGAGGAAGAAGAAGCTGTTGAAATGGAGGAAGAGATCAAACCTGCTAAGCCAGCCAAAAGGGATAAGAAGAAGAGGAAGCCTCCTACTCCCGAGGAGTACTATAGCTATCTCAAGACACTGGAGTTCGAAGGCACAAGACATCCTCATCGGGAAACGATGGCTGCTTTGGGAATCGCTGAAGATATCGACTACCTTGCTGAGATGTGCGGTTTAAAAACCTTCCTGGGGTATAGTTTCGAGGGTTATCAAGAGGAGACCTGCCAGCTCCTAGCCACTCTTGACGTACACTTCTACGCGGATGAACAAGAAGAAGAGAATGGGAGAGGTTTTGGATACATCACGTTCTCTGTCAAGGGAAGAGACTACTCACTAACGATCAGGGAGCTTAATCTCTTGTATGGATTCCCGAGCAAAGAGGGATTGGTTCAAGATTTCGATAAGCGCGAACTCCAAGCCTTCTGGAAGACAATCGCCGGACCAGGAGATTACAAGCCTTCGAAAAGCAAGAGCTCCTCTATTAGAAGCCCAGTGGTGAGGTATCTACACCAGTCCATTGCTAGCATGTTCTTTGCAAAGAAGATCACCGGTACCATAAGTGAAGGTGAACTGCAGCTTCTGGACTTAGCTCTCCTATTCACCTTAAGAAACACTAGTGATGGAGCAGAAATGGTGGGAGATAGAGGAAATGCTCCTCTAATAGCCTGTGTTCTTGGATCATTTATTGGGATACAAGGAGTATGCTGCAAACATGCATAGGTCAGGGCGCAAAGGAAGCTTGACCATTGGCGGAATTCTGACACCAATTCTAGGTAGCTGCGAATATAGACGTGGGAACAGGAGACTCTTCCCCAACTTGGATCGATATGGCGTACTTAAGGAAGAAGGGCTATCTTGATAAAACAGCTCCTGAAGGCGTGTTGCTCTATGTAGTTCAATCACCCTGAAGAAGGAACTTCTAGGCTGCTTCTACCATGCACGAATCACACCACGATTAGAGCTGGTGAGAACATCGATTTCTGTCCACCATCCTTCATTCTCTACGATTCACAAGTCGCCCCTGCCTCTCCACCGCCTCAAGCAATGCACGAGGACGACCAGGAGCAAACCCAAGACGCTCCTGATGATTATGCACCAGAGCGGTTCTTCTTCGAGGAATACAAAGCTCCTAGGCAGACCAAAGGCGAGAGAGAAGCTCACAAGCGCATAGGACTCCTGCAAGGATTGGGAAAGTTTCAAGGGAAGGCGATGCGAGGATTGTCCAAGAAGGTAGACTCATTGACCACCATGGTGAAGAAGATGGCGCTTCAGATCACAGACCTCCAGAAGAAGTCCAAGCATTCTCCATCATCATCAGAAGAGAGAGGTACTTTGAGAAGAAGCGGTTCCTCAAGCATGGCTCCACGACACGCGGTAAGGGCTGATCCTCCAAGATATTCATCCTTTGAACCACGCCAGAGGGAAAGCCAAGAAGAGTCTACACCACTCCCCAAACGTTCGCAAAGCCATCGCAGGAAAGCGGAAGGTTCAGAAGCCAAGTCCAGAGGCAGACTCGACCATGGAGCTCGATGACACGTCGAGACAGCACGTCGAGCCTGCTCCAGAGCCAACTAATCCTCCCTACATGCAGCACAACACCAACGTCGAGCAGCCTCCTCCAGAGTCAAGCACAGCTCCTTCTTACACGCAGGAGAGCATGGATGAGTTCCTTGACACCTACTTCGGATAAAACCAAAGTACCACTCATCCCCCTAAACCATTGTATTATTTCATTGCATTAATTTCTTTTCTGTTTCGTTGTTTGTTTCTCTTGAGCTCTCTTCTGAATTTTTATTACACAAGGGACTGTGTAATTTAAGTTTGGGGGAGGGTCCAAGAAGTATTTGATGTTGTGTTCTGTTTTCTTATTGCATAATCATCTAAGGCATAGAAAAACCAAAAAAATTTTGAAAAATTTCGAAAATTGTAATACAAAAAGAGAGTGTTCATGTAGTTCGCATTGCCATTTTAAGACTGTTTTAGTATGCTTTCATATAGGACTGTTGCATCATGCATTTGCATTGGAGATTATGATGATTATAACCTTGTAAATATGCATATTCACTAAGTAGAACTCAGTGCCCTGGTTGTTAGTTCTCTAATGCATAATCGACTGAACTTGAAGTAAGACCGCACCATCTCTTGAATTCAACGCTTGATTTTCTTGTTCTTAGTCGAATCTCGCTTTGATCTGATGCCATTCCCTATCTATTTGAACTTGAATTTTGACTTATAATTATCATGCTGTGCATTGTGCTATGAACTCATGGATACCTTAAAATACTTGGACTTTCTTTTACCTTTTGATCACTCTTGCTAGTCCAAGTAGCTGACTCCCATCTTTGGAGCAGTTATTCCCTACCCTTAGCCCTAACCTTCTTTCAAGCCATTTATCATTTGTGTGTGACTGTGAGGCCTTATTTCGATTGAGCTTGGTAGAAAGTGTTAGGTCTGTAACGACAAGGATAGTATCTCATGTAGTTCTGGTTCACGCTATCTGGACCAGATAGGACTAGGTGGGTGCTTAATTCTGGGTTTGGGTTGTGTTTAAAAGAAAGAAAAGGTTGTGTTCATCATTGAAAGAAAAGAAAAGGGAAAAGAGTCCTAGGAGAAGTAGCTAAAGTAAGAAAAGTCTAGTAAAGGATTTGGGAATGTTATAAAGTAAAGAAAAAGGGTTCTGTAATAGCTTAAAGAGAATGGGGTAAAAAGCCTTATGTTATAAGAAGAAAGAAAAGGGAACCCTAGTTGTTGAAGTATCCTAATCCGCTAGACAGAGCAAAGTAAGAAAGCTTCTCCTAGGATAGAAAAGCAAAGAAAAGAAAGGAATGATGTGAGTAAAGGTCTGTAAATGCTTTGAATGCAAAAGGGTAGAGTTAAGTTCATGTTCTGGGATTAGAAATAGGACCTCCATTTGGGTTGATATTGGTTACATTCTGGGTAGATGGGGTCTTATCCTTGTATGCATAACTTGATACTCACCTTTAGCCTTCTACTAAAGCTCAATCATTCTTGAGAGATCCCCTGTTGCGATTTAAACCAGATCTTTAAGGGACCATCTTTGTCTCTAAGACCTCTACCCTTAAGCCAAATGTGTTCATATCCACTGCATAGTATGATTCACGGTTCCTACTTAATCAATGTTAAAGGGAATGTGCTGATTTGAATGCTTGAATTGATTAAGGCAGAGGTTAGGTTGAGATGTGAAGGAGATGGCTAATGTTTTTAAGTAGAGATCAGTCAACCTTGCATTCTAGAATTAGCAACCTGGACATTGAATTCACTTACTCTATATGCATGTTTTGGTTCTGAGTCTCCACCTTCAAACCTCTTCTCCAGCTTAGTTCTATTTGTTTGCTTGAGGGCAAGCAAGAGCTAAGTTTGGGGGAGTTGATATCTCTCTATTTTACCACTTTTAAGCTTACTTTTCTCATACATTTAGCTAAGTTTTATCACTCTTTCATTGCATCCAGAGTCCTTTTCATATCATTTTCATCACTTAGTACGTTTTGCATTGCATGGCATAGCATGTTGCATATTGGGTGAGTTTCAGGTACTTTAGAGCTTATTTTGGGACTTAATGGAGCAAGGAGGAGCCACACAACCTTGGAACTAGACTTGGGATCGAGTTGGAGAGGAATGAAGCCAATCGAGAGCATCCAGAACCTGTCTCGACGTCATGGGCTCGACAGGAGGTTGAGCTGGTGCCCAGAAGCAACCAAGTGTCTGTCTCGACCAACCTGGCTCGATGTGAGGTCGAGTGAGACGTGAAGAAGCCACCAAGTGTCTGTCTCGACGTGGCTGGCTCGACGACACGTCGAGAGGGTCATCCAGGCGCCATCTCTGAAGAAGAGCAGTCTCGACGTGGCTGGCTCGACGTCACGTCGAGTTGGTCTCCGCCGACTCTCTATTTTGTCCTGTAGCTAATTAGGGCAACCTAGTATTTTCTATAAATAGGGGTTCACCCTTTTATCCAGCGGATATTCCTATTACCCAGCGGATATTGAGCCGTTCTCTCTAAAAACCCTAGTTTTGTAATCGTTTTTTCCCTTTGATCCTTTGAGATTTTGAATTTCGTTTCTTCATCAAAGTTGTAGATCTCCTTCTTATCTATAATCATACTTGCTTTTTAATGATTTCTGGGTTTGAAGCATTTTCTGGGTTTTTATGCATGATGTTCTTCAGTGTTCTTGAGTAGTGGATTAGGGTTCTTGAGGATGGGTTAGATTAGGTGTGGAATCTTAGTATATTTAGGTGGTTAAGTGTAGAATTGCTTGATTTCCCTTCTGGTTTAGTAGATCTTAATGCTATTTCTTCTCTGATCAATTGGAAGTTGATCTCAGACATTTCCACACCCAAAAGGTGTTTGATGAAATGTCTGAACAAACTATTCCAGAGATTTGCATACTCTAGCCCAAGAGATTGGATGTTTAGAATGCTTATTGACTAGATTAGATTGAATCATAATGCCTGCTAGGTTATGTTTCTTCAATGAGAATTGAGTATGAAAGTGATTTAGCTTGAGAATCTCTGTCACGAGAGTGGATTGATTTGTATTTGAATCTATTGTCTAGGGATAGCTTGATTGAGTTTGTTAACCACCTAGATAGACTAAGGAGACTGCTATAATCAATTATCCCATTCCTCAGGACCCTTTATCTCTATTGTTTGCTTGAATCTTGCTTACTTGCTGTTTACTTATTCTCTGTGCTTGCTACTTGCTTATATTGCTTAGTATTGATAGCTATTTCCCTTTATGCATGTTCACTCCTGTTCTGTAGTTTTATCGTTTTATTGCATGTTCGCTTAGGATTGCTAGATAAACAAACCTCTATTCTGCTTGGCTTGACTTAGTATTCTCTAATAGCATCTTGATTGATAGTAAGAGCACCTGATTGGATTGATAACCTAAATTGCTGCAATGACATGATAGTAATCTAGGGTAATTGATAGTGAAAATCCTAGTATCACTTGCTTATTTTGATTTTGTTTTTTTTCATTTTGGGGATTTGTTTTATTTTTCATTTGCTATTTATTTTCAGACATTTTGATATTTTATTAATTTATGAATTTTATGATTTACTCAATTTTAAATCATACCTCTTGTTTAATTGAAGATATGAACAATCAAATGGATATCATAGTGGTGGATAGTGGATCCAGCCACACTATCCTCAAAGACAAGAGTTATTTCATAAATTTAATCATGTAAACCGCAAATATTAGCACAATAGCGGGTACCTCGAACTTAATAGAAGGCCACGACCAGGCCCATGTGTTGTTATCAAACGGCACACATCTGGACATTCCAGATGCATTATACTCACCCAGCTCAAAAAGAAACTTTTTAAGTTTTAAAGATATCAGACATAATGGTTTCCACATAGAAACCCAGGGTGAAGGGAACAAAGAATCCCTACTGATCAGTAAGATCACACTTGGCCATAAACAAGTCCTCGAGACTATACCCGCATTATCTACTGGCCTTTACTATGCTAAGGTCAGTATGATTGAGGCTAATAATGCTCTCAAAGCCCGGTTCCAAGACTACACTATTTGGCACGACCGGCTTGGTCATCCCGGTACAACCATGATGCGTAAATTAATCCAAAGTTCTCAAGGACACACCCTTCGAGAAAACCGAGTCTTCCCTCAGCATCTCACGTGCACAGCTTGCTCCCAAGGGAAGTTGATCACCCGGCCTTCACCAGTAAAAGTGTCCAAAGAGACATTACATTTTCTGGAAAGAATCCAAGTAGACATCTGTGGTCCCATTCACCCACCTTCTGGGATATTCTGGTACTTCATGGTACTAATAGACGCTTCGACCCGTTGGTCGTATGTCTGCCTATTGTCTTCTCGGAACCAAGCTTTTGCTAGGTTGTTGGCTCAAATCATCAGATTACGAGCCCACTTTCCAGACTTCCCACTAAAGACTATACGTCTTGATAATGCTGGTGAATTCACTTCCCAAGCGTTTAATGATTACTGTATGGCCATGGGGGTGACCGTTGAACATCCTGTGGCACATGTCCATACTCAGAATGGACTTGCTGAATCATTCATTAAACGAATCCAATGGATTGTTCGACCATTACTCATGAGGTCGAAGCTCCCGGTCTCAGCTTGGGGACATGCAGTATTACATGCTGCTGAATTAATACGCATCCGACCATCTAGTGAGCATAGATATTCCCCATCCCAATTATTAATGGGTCATGAGCCAGACATCTCCCATCTCAAAACATTTGGGTGCTCAGTCTATGTACCCATTGCTCCACCACATAGAACCAAAATGGGACCTCAAAGGAGGATGGGAATATATGTAGGTTTTGATTCTCCCACCATCATCAAATATCTCGAGCCGACCACTGGAGACCTATTTAAGGCCAGATATGCGGATTGCCAATTTGATGAATCAGTATATCCAACATTGGGTGGAGTGAAACACAAGCTGGTCAAAGAGCTATCATGGAATCAAACATCCTTAAATTGGCAAGATCCTCGGACTCTAGAATGTGATTCAGAGATCCAAAAGATTATACACTATCAAAAGCTAGCTAATCAATTGCCAAATTCCTTTGCTGACCCGAACAAAGTAACCAAATCGTACATACCAGCTTGTAATGCACCAGCACGAATAACTGTCCCAACAGGACAAGTTCAAGTTGCTACAGAGTCTGCATCACGAAATAAACGTGGCAGACCTCTAGGTTCCAAAGACAAGAATCCACGGAAATCAAAGAAAGGTGCAATAGTTGAAACCGGGATTCCCAATATAACAAACATAGCCGCGGCTGAGACTCACTCTAATGAACCACCAGAAGAGGTTCGGGACGCCGAATCTCTAGGTTCTGAAGAGATCGATAACGATGAGATCATTATCAATTACAACATGTCTGGAACCCAATGGAACTGAAAAGATGTCGACCTGAATGCACTCTTTGCATACAAAGTAGCACTTGATATTGCGAACACGCAAGAGGATCTAGAACCCACGTCTATCACGCAGTGCACTCATAGAACAGACTGGCTAAAATGGAAAGAAGCCATAAACGTGGAGTTAAAGAGTCTCAAACTCAGGAATGTGTTTGGTCCGATCATCCGGACACCATTCAATGTCAAACCAGTGGGCCATAAATGGGTCTTTGTGCGTAAGAGAAACGAACTCGGTGAAGTCGTTCATTATAAAGCACGGCTTGTAGCACAAGGATTCTCACAAAGACCCGGAATCGATTATGAGGAGACTTATTCTCCGGTGGTGGATGCAACTACTTTTCGATTCCTCATAAGTCTGGCCATAAGAGAAAATCTAGATTTGCGATTAATGGATGTTGTCACCGCATATCTCTATGGGCCCCTGGACAATGAAATATACATGAGATTACCAGATGGCATAGAGCTTAAAGATAAGCATGCATCTCGAGATCAGTACTGCATCAAGCTAAACAAATCCTTGTATGGACTGAAACAAAGTGGACGTATGTGGTATAACCGGTTAAGTGAATATCTCATCAGAGAAGGCTACAAAAACGATCCCATCAGTCCATGCATTTTCATCAAGAAATACTCAAACAAAGGATTTGTAATCATAGCAGTTTACGTGGATGATCTAAATATCCTCGGAACATCTGGTGAAATCTCCCAAACAGTCGACTGCTTGAAAGCAGAATTCGAAATGAAAGACCTAGGTAAAACTAAATTCTGTTTGGGTTTACAACTTGAGTACGTCAAAAGAGGAATCCTTGTGCATCAAGCGGCTTATACTGAAAAAGTACTCAAGCGATTCAACATGGACCAGGCCCACCCATTGACCAGCCCAATGGTTGTTCGGAGCCTAGGATTGGACAGTGATCCACTCGGTCCCAAGAAGGACGATGAAGACATTCTCGGTCCAGAAAAGCCATACCTCAGTGCTGTAGGAGCGTTAATGTACCTGGCTAGTCACACTAGACCAGACATTTGCTTTGCCGTGAACCTCCTAGCTCGCTTCAGCTCATGTCCAACTCAGAGGCACTTGGAACGGTATCAAACACCTCCTAAGATACCTTCAAGGTACTAAAGACTTAGGACTGTTTTACACTAACCACAACAAGGATGGACTAGTTGGCTTTGCTGATGCAGGATATCTATCAGATCCGTACACTGCCAAGTCTCAAACTGGTTATGTGTTCACGCATGGAGGAACAACTATCTCTTGGAGATCGATGAAGCAGACAATCACTACCACTTCATCAAACCATGCAGAACTTTTGGCCATTCACGAAGCCAGCAGAGAATGTGTTTGGCTACGATCCATGACTCTGCACATCCTGTCAGATTGTGGTATGGACGAAGACAAGGAGCCTACGGTGTTGTATGAAGACAATGCGGCATGTATCGCTCAACTCAAGGAAGGTTATATCAAAGGAGATCGGACGAAGCACATCCTACCGAAATTCTTCTCAACCTCGGATTGGCAGAAGGATGGTACGATCAGCGTTCAACATGTCCGATCAAGCGAGAACTCCGCCGACCTTTTTTACCAAATCATTGCCCGCTTTAACACTCCGGAAGCTCATCCAACAAATAGGAATGCGTAGACTTAGAGATCTACAGTGATGCTCTAATCAGGGGGAGTAATGCGTGTTGTACTCTTTTTCCTTCACCATGGTTTTTCCCACTGGGTTTTCCTGGTAAGGTTTTAATGAGGCAACATTCCCCAGCGCATTATCGAGATCCCGATTGACCATCAGGACCGGTTACTCTGTCCAAGGGAGAGTGTTATAATAAATCATATTGGACTTATAACCGGGCCCAATAAGCCCATCAGGGTTATTCATTATGTATTGTATCCCGATGTACTTCTATATATTCCCTTGAGGATCAATAAAATAATTAGTTCCACAACAAATCATATATTTTCTTGAGATGTTACTTCCTTTTTTTAAGTTTTCGCTAATCAAAACAATCCTACAATCTCGCCGTTGAATATCCTTTGACGAATCCTATACTAATATTTGGGAAGTACATCCTAAGAGTCATAACTTAGATTTTGTAAGAAATTACAATATATGCCATTAGAGATCTTTAATTGTAATTATTTTATTTCATTTCACTAATATATATTAACGGGTCAAACGGGTTTAAAGATATCAAAAGATTTTGTTTATATAATTCATATAATTCAAAAAATATTTCGAAAAAACAACACAATTCATATAATTCAAAATGATATTGAAAATGTTATATAGTAATCCATTATTCAACATGTTTTCGAAAATGTTATTAAAAATGTATTTATATATTGGCGAAAATTATTTTCACACATATTAAGTTACCAAAATTGAAATTCATATTAATACTAAATCTAAGTAGTTTCTATAACGGCTTTGGATAATCTACATATACATTTTTAGAGGGGATTTTGGTTTTTAATTCAAATGGGTCGGATTTTGACCCGGATTAATTCTGATCGGATCCTGGATAAGACAATTAAAGAATTTTTTTTTTAAAAAAACGAAATTCATTTTTAATTACCCATTTAATTCTGTTCCTTTAATTTATTCCCACATTTAGTTATTTTTTCATATTTAAAGATTAAGATTTGCCGTATAACAATATTGCGAAAATATCTCCATATTAACTCAAACGTTAGTTTCTAAAATCTTACCAACGAGATTTTTGAGAGCATTTAATTAATACCAAATATCATTTTCATATTCCTAATCTACATATCTCTAACAACTCGATAAGCATAAATTAAAATAGTCCTTCCAAAAAATCAAATTCAGTTTCATTATCTTACCTCCGAGATTTTAGATTGCATTTAATTAAAATAGTCTTTTTCAAAAAAATCAATTCTGTTTCTTTATCTTGTAAGCCACAATTTAATTAGTCTTCTCTAGAAAAATCAATATGGTTTCTTTACAAATATATATCCCGAGATTTTTTCTTCTACTATTAACTCACCACATTAAATTTGAAAGATTATCCTTCCAATATCTATATAAAAACGAATTATAAAAACATATTAATCAAATTTATGTTCAATTATTTGCCATAAAATCTGGACAAAATATTTAATTCATTATCTCGACAATATAATAGAAACTATTAGATTGTATTAAAAACGGATTAGTTGCATATTCCTTAAAAAAATTCGATCAAAAAGATTTGATTCTAATTTAGTTGAGGTTGCAAATAAATTTTTATTGGCAACCAAAAGATTATTGACCTAATCGGAACTCGCCTATATATACACTCTAGCTTTACATCTCCTCACATTAACAAACACACAAAGCAACTACATTTTCAAAACACTCGAAACATTCTGCTTCAAATGACTACTACATTTACATATGTTTGCATAAAAGCGCATATTTTCCTTTTGGTATTTGATGGATGAAATTATATATTGCTTTCTATTCATGAGTTTTGAGTTTTAATACATATTTCTAATTCTCTTTTCGTGTTTATTTCTTGATCTACAGAAGCACATCGGAGAATAAGACGACAGAAAAAGTTTAAGATTTGTATTGGAATATATAGGATAAGAAGGAACGTCTCTTGATGATGGTTATTGCTGGAGAAAATACGGACTGAGGACTTAGGATGTTGGCATTGATTGGTCATTAATTGATCATGAGATCAATTACTTCGATATATTAATCTTAGACGATGATGTATAATTCTTTCATGGTGGTGATACATAATTAGCATCACACTTTGCAATTGTAAATGTGTCTCATTGTTATTTTTGTATATGGAGATGCGATCAAGTATGAGTACACAATACGTAACATTTTGTGCCGACTCGCTAATGTTAATCTTTTGTCTTCTCATGTTACTACTACAATGTTACATTGTTCATCTATATTGATACTTTGTTGCAGGAAAATGTATAGAAGGAACAAGCAGAAGCTGGAACTAAAGTTTTTCTTACATATAGGTTGGCATATATACGGTACTATTTTCATTACACAAATAATAAATATATACTAAAGTGTTTTAATATTTATTTATGAAATAAAAAAAATTACAAAGCCAAATAATCTTTTATTGACATTTATAAAATTAAAAATATAATTTAAATATTATTATGTTTAAATGCAAAAAAAAAATTAAAACATATTTTCTTTTTCCACCATACATTGAACAAATTACAATTTGATTTTTTTTTTTATACATTACGAGTTAAAAAGTTAACAATATAATCAAAATACTATCATGTTTATTTAAATTTTTTATAATATTAATAATATTTGAACTCTATAAAAATTAAAAATATATATCTGGAAACCATTTAAAGCAAACTTTTAAATTGATTTGAATTATAGGTTTTTTAAATAAAATATTATAAAAAATGACAAAATGATGTTTCTTTCACGGGACAGGGTTATATGGTGGGACGAGTTTTGTTAGATATTAATATGGGACGGTATACTACAGATGAAATTTTAGAATTAACAATCAAAATATAATAATACAATCTTAAATAATAAAGAAAACAAATAATATTAACAAAACTAATACAACTTATAATTTAAATTTTTAATTATAAAAATTGATCTGCGGTGTACCACGGGTCAATCCTAAAATGCACCATATTATAATAAAATGCAAACAACAAAATGTATATTTATTCAAATCCGCTATATAGCGTTGCTTAATGAACTGTATGTTTTCGTTTCTATATTTAAAAATTGAAACCTACAACATACTAAGCATACACTATATATATAATACATTTAAATCAAACAAAACAATAGGTTATATCTGTAGATTATTTTTAAAATTAAATTTTAATTTTTATTAAACAAAAATATAGGCCCGCGTTGTACCGCGGGTTAATATCTAGTATTCTACGTATTAACTCTACAAATGTATTCGACTATAAATATATGATCACACCATCCGTATAAACACAAATCATTAGCAATCAACTTTACTTCCATCAAACAAACTCTTTCTCACAAATGGCTCTTAATAACGTTTTTACAAGTCTCAATGGTATCAAACTTTTCAAAACAACCTGGCGAATTCAAGTAAATATCGTGCATTCTTGGACCCAGTACACAAGCTACACTGGCGAGACTCTTGAGATGATTTTGGCAGATCTAGAAGTAAGACAATCATTTTCTTAAACTCTTGCGTTATTTTTTTTTTGTGTACTACGTTTACATCTACGATTGAATATACTTTAACTATATTATAATTTTCCACTTTTGTAGGATACTTTGATTCATGCCACTATCAAAAAACAACAACTAGCAAAGTACCAGAAATTCATCAACTCAGGTGAATGGAGAATTATTGAGAATTTTACTTTGGCAAAAGCCATGGGAAAATTTAGGGCAACTAAGCATCCCTACCGGATGTCTCTGATGAATTCAACTATCGTTACTCCCTGTCCTTCATTGTCTGATGACATGTACTTGGATTTGGCTGCCTTTGATGCTTTTTCAGATGAAGCTCAGTGCCCTGAAAATATTTTGGTTGGTATGTATTCACATATTCTATTCTACACATTCTATATTTGTGCTAAGAATATTAAGATACTAAAGCTAAATGTGTTTGCTATCAGATATCATTGGTCAGGTCGTCGATGTTGGCGAAATGAAAACTCACAACGTCAATAACAAAATTATGAAGAAACTGGAATTTGAACTAAGAAACACAAAGTCGTATTACCTTTTTTCTCTATTTCTTTTATTATCTAACAAAAAGATTACTGATTCCCCTGATTTTTTACTGCTTTGCAATGATGAACGTTTGGCTAGTACATTCTGGGGAAGATTTGCTGAAACCCTTATGGCCGCATGTGAAAACAGTGGTGATAAGAAGGTTATCTGTCTGATGCGTTTCGCTAAGATCACTACGTTTAAAGGTTTGCACATTATCGACGACTATAACTTTATTCTTGCCGACTCATTATAATACCTTATTTTGTCTTCCATAGGTGTACGATCAATTTCGAATGCTTTTGATATGTCTTTGCTGTTGATTGATCCCGACTATCCAGAGGCTTTTGAGTTTGTACAAAAGTGAGTTTGTATTGCTAATGATGTATGCTTCACTTTACTGTTTAGCGAATGTTAATATTATAAATATACTTACCAAATTTTTTTCTAGCCTGCCACAAGATGGTCTAGCTTTGACACTTCAAGTGCATGTTCCAAAAGAACAAAATGTTGTCAAAAAGGTTGAACATTACAACAGGTTCCCCCGTAATACCATTCAAGAGCTTCTCCATTCACCTGAGGTTGGTATATACTATTCATTCATAGATATACGGCTATGTTTATGTCTTTATTTACTTCTCTAACATTTCTTTTTAAAACATTCTAATAGGTTGGCAAATTTAAGATTATGTGTACAATCTTCGCCATTGATACCGACTTTTCTTGGTACTACTTCAGCTATCTAAGATGTAACAAGACAACATATGTGGTACCAAAAGTGGAGGATGATGTCGTCAAAAAAGTTAAGCAAACATTTTTCTGGTGTGGGAATTGTAGAGAAAATACTACCCGAGTTGTTCCAAGGTAATTGATTATATATATATATATATATATGTAAAAGAGACATTAATTTTAGATATATGTTTGAATTGTAAAAACAGAGTCATTACATATTTATTTTCCCTCATTTTAGATACAAGTTGATCCTCCGTGTCATGGACTCCACTGGCGAAACTAAGGTCATGCTGTTCGAAAAACATGCCACACAGGTCGTATGTTGCTCTGCTTTTGATCTCTTGGAAGGACATTTTGATGAGGTATGCAGATAGATAAACTTTTTGTTGATTTTTTGTTCATTTTTTGCTTTACTATTCTGTATTAGTTATCAAATGAATTATTTACAGATTCAAGATACAACTAACATGCCTCAAGCTTTGAAGAATTTGGTTGGAAAAACATTTCAATTTCTCGTGTCCGTTGAAAAGGATAACATAAGTGATAGTAACGGTACTTATAAGGTATCCTACGCTTGGGTTGGTCTTGATTCTGATCATCTCGAAAAGGATAACATAAGTGAAGATTGCAGATTCTTTGTTCTCGTTATTTTTTTTTTCCGTTTGCTGAACCGACAAATAATAAACATCTGGGCTATGAATTTCCTATAAATTGGCCCAACTACAAAAATAATATGTCAGCTGTTGGGTTTCATAAGGGCTTTATTCATAACAATATCGATTTCAACACTTCACATACACATTTTCATATACACGATAAAACACACACGATATTAATAATCAAATCAAAAAAATTTGTAAACGAATACTTTCCCTCGCGGTGCCACCGCGGGATCTGACCTAGTTTACTCTATTAATTTTGTCTCTTCTTACATTCTACAATGAAAACGAACGACGTATTTATAGTGTGGTTGACTTAATGAGGAAACCACTTAGAGGAGAAGTCACTTGGGGGACAAATGACTTAGGTAACAAATAACTAGGGAGACAAGAGAGTTAGGGAGGAAGTAGAAGATGGATAATCACAAAAGATTATCCATTTAATGTTAATACTCCCCTTTGATTATCCATAGTTTACGTACTGTCTCGTTAAAAAAACTTTATCATGGAAAAACTCATTGGGATAAAAACTAATGACAAAGGAAAAAGAGTACAGTAACGCAATCTTCTCATGAAAAAAGATAAGTATAAGAACATCTTATCTTTGTAAATTTCGTAGATGGCGCATTCTGATACTGTGAATATGCTTTCTGAATGTTGACGTAGGAAGCACCTTTGTAAACAGATCTGCTGCGTTGTCACTTGAGCGAGTATACTGGATATTAACTTCTTTGTTTTTCTCGAGTTCTTGAGTGTAGGAGAAATACTTTGGAGGGATATGCTTCGTTATGTCGCTCTTGATATAACCTTCTTTGATTTGGGTGACAGCATGCAGCATTGTCTTCGAATAATGTTGTCGGCTCTTTACTTGTAAATATTGCACTTGCTTCTTGTATGTGGTTGATCATATCTGAGCCACATCATTATCTGCAGGCTTCATGAAGCGCAATCATTTCTGCATGGTTTGAAGAGATGGTGACCAAAGTCTGTTTCTGAGAACGCCACGAGATTACAATTCCTTCAATTGTGAAAGCGTATCTAGTTTGGAATCGAGATTTATGCGGATCCGATAGACATTGATATGTCTATAATTTACTTGTTTTGAGCATCCATTTTTCATCATTTTAAGCATTTTTTAATCACTGTTTCATATCATTCTTTATAGTTTGTGCATACTTTGCATACTTAGGATAGTTTTCCATACATGTTGCATAATGGAGTTGTTTTCAGGTACTTTGGAACTGTTGGTGTGAAAATTGAGGAGAAGCAAAACAGAAGCACAAGTCACTCAACCATGTTGATCGAGCATACTCAGCAGGGAGCTTCACTCAACACTCGACCATGTCAGTTCAAATACCACTCGACCAAACACTCGACCATGTCAAGTCAAACACCACTCGATCACTACTCGACCAAACACTCGACCACAACACTCATTAGATACTCGATCACATGCATCAAACTCTTCTCGATTCCGCACTCAACAAGACAACTTGAGCATAAGGAAGAGAAAGAAGAAGGAGCAACCACTCGATCACATCTACCAATGGGTTACTCAATCACATCACAGGCAGAGCAAGAGTCTTAAAAGAGCCAGCTTTACTCGACCTCCTCTACTCAATTGCATGGGTCGAGTGGTTTACTAAACCGCCTTAGATTTTCTGTCGTTTTATGTTTTAGGGTTTTCTAGTATTTGCTATAAATAGGTCTATTTTCTTTGCCCAGAAAACTTAAGCTTTATCCGCTGAACAATTAGTTTTTCCAGAAATTTTAATCCAAATTACTCTTAATCTATTCAGTTTTTGCATTTAAGTTCCTCTTTAAAGTTGTTTATCTTGTTGAGATCTGTAAGTTGTGATGTTTTTAGAGGTTTTTGGGTTTGTATTCTTGATTATGTTTCTTGAGTAGTAATTAGGGTTCTTAAGGATGGGTTAGGGTAGTTTAGAATCCTTAATCTGTCAGGTGGTTAAGCTTTGATTGGTTAGATCCCTTCTGGATTAGTTGTTCTTAATGCTAATTGCTTTCTGATCAACTGGAATTTGAGCCCAGGCATTTACACACCCAGAAGGTGTTATGCCTGAACCACTAATCCCAGAGATTCGTGTCTTTGTACCAAGATGTTGGTTACAGAGTGTGTTTTAGCTTTAACTTGTTGATTGGTAATGCCTGTTACGTTAGCTTTTGTCAATGGTTATTGAGTCTGAACTAGCTTAGATTAAGGGTCTCTGTTACGGAAGTACTTTAATATGTTATTGAACTTGTTGTCTAGGGATATTTTTACTGAGCATGTTAACCACCTGATATACTAAGGAGACTTTTCTACTCGATTACCCAATCCTTAGGGATTTCTCATCCATTTGATTTCTCTGCTTACATCTTGTTCTTTGCTTGTTCTATTGCATGTTGCTGAGTTTTTGCATTTTCTGACTGTTTTACATCATACTTGACCACACCCAATGTCTGATAACAGACTTTGCAGTCAAGTATAGTTGTTGCATTTTCTGTCTGTTTTCACACCATACTCGATCCCATCCAGTGTCTGGCAAACATACAGTGTGATCGAGTACAAGGTTGTTTTCTGTTAGATTTTTTGTTTTCTGTATGATCACTCAGGACTGTTAGAAAAACCAAAACCTGTTTATACTTGGCTTGGCTTGGTGACATCTGATCACATCTTGATTGATAGCATCACACCTAAATGGATTGACACCTTAAATACTGCAATGACATGATAATGCTTTAAGGAATTGAGAACTAGTTAAAATCCTACTATCAATGGGGTGCCGTTGCCATTTGGGTATTTGTTTGTTACATTTGAGATTTCAGACTTGTTTAGATCAAGTTCTATTTCAACTTTCACTTTAGTTATTAACTTTGTGTTATTCTGTTTGTCTTTGTGATTCAGGTACAACTCCGTTTTATGCAAACTCGATCAAAAGGCAATCAAAACCTCTTTTTCAACAACAAAATTGACCGCTTAGCAAGAGAACTAAGGGAACGGAGAGACACAGTAGATGTTGCGCACCCTCATCCTATAAGAATGGCTGATTAACAAGATAAGCAAGGGCTGCCTGGAAATATAGGCACTGGAGATGCACCAAGAAATCACCGACATAGGCAAGGGATTATGCTCTCTGCTGTTCAGAACAACAACTTCGAGATTAAAAATGGTATAATCTCGATGATTCATGGAAACAAGTTCAACGGCCTACCAATGGAAGACCCACTCGATCACCTGGACGAATTTTATAGGCTATGCAGCCTCACCAAGATAAATAGAGTCAGTGAAGATGGCTTCAAGATCAGAGTGTTCCCATTCTCTTTTGGAGACAAAGCTCATGTATGGGAGAGGACTCTACCACAAGGATCCATCACATCCTGGGACGAGTGCAAGAAAGCCTTTCTTATAAAATTCTTCTGCAATGCAAGGACTGCAAGACTCAGGAATGAGATATCTGGTTTTGCCCAAAAGAATGGAGAAAGCTTATGTGAAGCTTGGGAGCGCTTCAAGAGTTACACCAATCAGTGCCCTCATCATAGCTTCAGCAAAGCCTCACTTCTTAGCACTCTTTACAGAGGAGCTCTCCCACATATAAGAATGCTTCTAAATACTGCAAGCAATGGCAACTTTTAAAACAAAGATGTTGATGAAGGTTAGAAACTAGTGGAGAACCTGGCTTAATCTAATGGAAACTACAATGAGGACTACGACAGAACCACCAGAGGAACTACTGACTCCGATGAGAAACACAAGAAAGGGATTAAAGCTCTGAATGAGAAACTTGACAGGCTTCTCCTTGGCCAGCAGAAGCAAGTCCATTTCTTGGTTGACGACAAACAGTTTCAAGTCCAAGATGGGGAGGAAAACCAGTTAGAAGAGATAAGCTACATCAACAATCAAGGTGGCTACGAAGGGTACAACAACTTCAAGACTAATAACCCCAACCTGTCTTATCGCAGTACCAACGTAGCTAATCCACAGGATCAAGTGTATCCCTCACAACAACAGCAGAGCCATAACAAACCTTTTGTTCCTTACAACCAAGGTTTTGTTCCCAAGCAGCAATTCCAAGGTGGCTACCAGCAGTAGTAACCACCACCTGGGTTTACACCTCAGCAACACCAAGGTCCTGCTGCTCCTGACTCCGATCTGAAGCAAATGCTACAACAACTTCTCCAAGGAAAAGCATCTAGTTCAATGGAGATTGCTAAGAAGATGACTGACATACACAACAAGTTGGTTTTCAACTATAATGATCTAAATGTCAAGGTGGAAGCACTGAACTCCAAGATACGGTACTTAGAAGGCCAAAACTCTTCTACTTGTACTCCAAAACCTACTGGCCAACTTCTAGGAAAAGCAATACAGAATCCTAAGGACTATGCTCAGGCTCATGCTATCACCTTATGTAGTGGATAAGAAATTCCCACCAGAGAAAGACCTAAGGCAGTCATTGAGGACAGTGCAGACCAAGATGGGCAGGATTTCAGTTTCAATGAAGATCAAATTGACAAACCAACTGAAGTACTCGAGCCCATACTCGATGGTGATACTCGACCAACAAATCCAGTAACACCATCCACTGCTCTAAAACCAGTTGCTTTTAAAAACAAGGAGAAAGTTTTCGTTCCTCCTCCTTACAAGCCCTCACTTCTATTTCCTTGTCAATACAAGAAAGTGTTGGCAGATAAGGATAGAAAAATGTTTGCCAAACACATCAAAGAAATTGAAATCAAGATGCCTCTTATCGATGCTCTTGTACTTATTCTGGATTCCCACAAGTTCCTGAAAGATTTGATAATGGAGAGAATTCAAGAAGTGTAGGAAATGGTAGTATTGAGTCATGAATGCAGTGCCATTATATAGAGGAAGATCATTGTGAAGAAGCTTGGCGATCCTGGTTCATTCACTCTGCCATGTTCCTTAGGACCATTGGTTTTTAATAAATGTCTTTGTGATTTAGGAGCATTTGTAAGTCTCATGCCACTCTCTGTTGCTAAGAGATTGAGGTCTACTCAATACAAATCCTGCAACATCTCTCTTATTCTAGCTGACAGATTAGTAAGGATCCTTCATGGGCTAATAGAAGACTTACCAATCCGAATAGGAGTTGTGGAGATTCCTACCGACTTTGTAATGCTTGAAATGGATGAAAAATCCAAAGACCCTTTGATTATGGGGAGACCTTTCTTAGCAACTGCTGGAGCATTGATATCAGGAAGGGGAAGATTGATCTAAACCTTGGCAAAGACTTGGAAGCCTACTATAGAAGGTTAGCTCTTTTGGATTGAAGAAATGGATTAGTTAGTTGATGATATAAAAGGAATTTCACCTAGTTTATGCACCCATCGCATTCATCTTGAAAATGAATCTTACTCTAGGATTGAACCTCAAAGGAGATTGAATCCTAATCTGAAATAAGTTGTGAAGAAGAAGATACTTAAACTATTGGAAGCAGGTATAATCTACCCTATTTTCGATAGCACTTGGGTATCTCCTGTTCATTGTGTCCTTAAGAAAGGAGGTATGACAGTTATTAAGAATGATAAAGGTGAGCTCATACCCACTAGAATTATAACCGGTCATAGAATGTGCATTGATTATAGAAAGTTGAATGCTGCATCTAGGAAAGATCATTTTCCACTTCCATTTATTAACCAAATGCTAGAAAGATTGGCTAATCACCCTTACTACTGCTTCTTAGATGGTTATAGTGGATTTTTCCAAATACCTATTCATCCTAATGACCAAGAAAAAACCACTTTCACATGCCCATATAGAACCTTTGCATATAGAAGAATGCATTTTGGGCTTTGTAATGCACTAGCCACATTTTAGCAGTGCATGACCTCTATCTTCTCAGATTTAGTTGAGGAGATGGTTGAGGTATTCATGGATGTATTTTTCCATGTATGGCTCTTCTTTCTCCTCTTGTTTGTCAAATTTGTGCAGGATGCTTTCAAAGTGTGAGGAGACAAACCTGGTGCTCAATTGGGAAAAATGTCACTTCATGGCCATAGAAGGCATAATGTTGGGGCACAAGATCTCAGACAAAGGTATAGAGGTTGATAAGACAAAGATTGAGGTTATGGTGCAGCTGCAACCACCAAAAAGCGTCAAGGATGTAAGAAGTTTTCTGGGTCATGCGGGGTTCTACAGAAGGTTCATCAAAGACTTCTCCAAACTGGCAAGACTAATGACAAGGCTGCTTTGTAAGGAAACATAGTTTGATTTTGATGAAGAGTGCCTTTAAGCTTTTCAACTCATCAAGGAAGCTCTGATCTCAGCTCCAATAGTCCAAGCTCCCAACTGGGATTATCCATTCGAAATCATGTATGATGCTTCAGACTACGCAGTAGGAGCAGTCTTGGGACAGAAGATCGATAAGAAGCTTCATGTCATCTATTATGCAAGTAGAACAATGGATGATGCTCAGGTGAAGTATGCTATAACAGAGAAGGAGTTATTGGCAGTGGTCTTTGCATTCAAAAAGTTTAGAAGCTACTTGGTTGGTTCTAAAGTTATAGTCTACACGGATCATTCAACCTTGAGGCACATCTATGCCAAGAAAGACACCAAACCGAGGTTGCTGAGATGGATACTACTACTTCAAGAGTTTGATATGGAGATAGTAGATAAGAAGGGTATTAAAAATGGAGTAGCAGATCATTTGTCAAGGATGAGGATTGATGATAAAATCCCCATTGATGATTCAATGCCTGAAGAACAGCTTATGGCTGTCAAATTTTTTGGTAAAGGCTTCAGCAGAAACAAGTTTTACAACCTATATGCTCTTTAAGAAGGAATGTCTCCCTAGTATGATGATCATGTCAACTACTTGGCTTATGGTGTGGAATCTCCAAACTTGACTAGTTATGAGAAGAAGAAGTTCTTTAGGGACATAAACCATTTCTACTAGGATGAGCCATATCTCTATACTCTTTGCAAAGACAAGATCTACAGAAGATGCATCTCAGAGGAAGAAGTAGAAGGCATCTTACTTCATTGCCATGGTTCAGCCTATGGTGGTCACTTTGCAACATTCAAGACAGTGTCTAAAATCCTGCAAGCAGGCTTCTGGTGGCCAACAATGTTCAAAGACGCCCAAGAGTTCATATCAAGGTGTGACCCATGCCAAAGAAAAGGTAACATCAGCAGAAGAAATGAGATGCCACAGAATCCGATACTTGAAGTGGAGATCTTTGACGTCTGGGAATCGACTTTATGGGACCATTCCCTTCTTCTTATGGGAACAAATACATACTGGTAGCAGTGGAGTATGTGTCTAAGTGGGTAGAGGCCATCGCAAGCACGACAAATGATTCAAGGGTAGTTCTGAAGCTGTTTAAAACCATTATCTTCCTAAGGTTTGGTGTAGCTAGGGTGGTCATCAGTGATGGAGGAACACACTTCATCAACAAAGTTTTTGAGAACTTACTAAAGAAGCATGGAGTGAAGCATACGGTAGCCACTCCATATCATCCACAGACAAGTGGGCAGGTTAAGATCTCAAATTGAGAGATTAAAGCCATTTTAGAGAAAACAGTGGGGACAACTAGGAAAGACTAGTCTACAAAGCTTGATGCATTATGGGCATACATGACAGCTTTCAAGACCCCTATTGGTACAACTCCTTTCAACCTTCTCTATGAAAAATCTTGCCACTTGCCTGTTGAGCGAGGGCAGTACGTACCGCGGGTCAGTTCGTACGTACTGTGGGTTGGTCCGTACGGTCCACGGGATAATCCGCGATCGTAACGATCGGTTGGTCTCGACATTCCATCGTTCGAATGTTCTTGTAATGATACGAACTTCGAAAGCGTGAGGTTTCGAAATTCTTCGAGAAAAGCTTATGGAATCATTCCTTAAGATTTCCTGAAACAGTGAATATCAAAACTAAAAATTAAAAAGCAAAAGTCCTAGAGTTTACTCAAGTTCTTAGATTCGTGAAACTATCAATCTCTCCCCGGCAACGGCGCCAAAAAGCTTGATGTGTGTGTTAATTCGCTTAAGTTTTTTACCTCAAAAAACCACACGACTGCTGCAAGTGCACAATGAATCGGTTTAGTATTTAAGGATCGAATCCTACATAGAGAGAAGTAGTTCGGAAGAATCTATTAGAACAAGTAAAGCTAGAACAAAAGAATAAAAAGGGGTTGTTGGTTGTCACACATGCAATGAATAAATAAGAAAGCAAGTAAATAAAGCGAGTAAATAGCAAGTAACTAATATGAGAAACAAACGTTGGGCATGAAAGGATTGCAGGGGGTTCAATGTTCGTTATCTAAGAAATACTAGAATTAGGCTTGTTTACTTCCAAGTCTCGGACATACGAAACACTAAAGATCGGCTTATCCTAGGTTATATAATAAGTCGGCTAAAATTCTTATACTCCGTTACTCAACCTACGCAGGAAACAGCACCAAAAAGCTTGATGCATGTGTTGATTCGCTTCAGTCTTTTACCTCAAAAGACCACACGACTACTGCAAGTGCACAGTGAATCGGTAGTAATATTTAAGGATCGAATCCCACATAGAGAGAAGTAGTTCGGACGAATCTATTAGAACAAGTAAAGCTAGAACAAAACAATAAAAAGAGGTTGTTAGTTGTCATAAATGCAATGAGTAAATAAGAAAGCAAGTAAATAAAGCGAGTAAATAGCAAGTAAATAATAGGAGAAACAAACGTTGGGCATCAACGGATCGTAGGAGGTTCAATGATCGTTATCTAAGAAATACTAGAATTAGGTTTGTTTACTTCCAAGTCGCGGACATATAAAACACTAAAGATCGGCTTATCCTAGGTTATAGAATAAGTCGGCTAAAATCCTTATACTCCGTTACTCAACCTACGCAAGCAACAACACATATATCAAAGAAATAAGATCAAGTTCGATTCTATTCCATAAAGCCCTATAACTAAGTGGTGCGTGCTTGTTATAACACGATACACATTCGTAAGCTAAATCTAGCATATTAAACAACCTTGTGAGCGATTTGAACACTTGGGATCACGAGTTAGGTCATGAATCTAACTACATGCATTAAGAGAAAACTTACTTAGAAAGAATACAGTGTAAACGATCAAACAAAACCCTAAGTATCGCCACCTAGACGATCGATCATGTCCCCCCTTTGATTAACCCTTTAAACCCAACTAGAAAACTACTCTAGCATGGTTAGAGATCATTAAAGTAAAGTTTGATAAACTCATAAGAAATAGATGAATAAGAACTGAATAGGGTTTAGAGATTACTTCTTTGACTATAGAATACAAGAGGTAAGACTTCACCTTAATAGATCTTAGAGTAAACAAGAGAAAATAGAGAGATTTGGTGGACTTCAAAGCTTTGGAAAAGGTAGAGGACGACGGCTGCATCTCTAGGGTTCTCCTTTGGCTTCTTCGTGAGTGAACACCTAGGTTTAGGGTTTACATCGAGTATTTATAAGTCTTGGAGACCAAGGAGTCGGTTTAGGGGTTAAAACATCTTTTCCTGTGAATTAGGTTAAGTGCAGCTCGAGTCTCTGGACCGGTCGGAGGCATTAGTGACAGGTGGTGAGAGTGGAAGGAAGCCCGGGCATGGGCCTTATGACCGGTGTGGCCTTGAAGCTCCAGAACGGTTGCATAGCTTCTGGCCGGTCTGGACATGTTTTCACTCTTGTGGTCATAACTTCCGAATGACTTGTTGGATTGCTATGATTCAACTTCGAGGCGAATGTTGACTCTTCTAGCTTTCCATAACCACATATATCTCTGGATTTTCTAATCGGGAAGACCTCGAACGGACGCCATACTTCTGACGTACATAAACTGTCTTGAAACGGGTTTTGATCGCCTTTTGGTCTTTAATACTCAAAAAATCTTAAAACCTTCTTGACTCCTAAAATACTTGAATATCACCTCTTGGCTCTTAAATAACTCCAAATGCTCCCTAAAATATAAGAAAAAAAATAGCAAATATGGACGAAAATCCCATGTTATCAGTAACTCTCGGTTAATTTTTGGAAATCGAAAATAACCAATTTTTTTTAATTTTTTTTTGTTAATTCGGTTATTTTTGGCTAGATTCGGTAATTTTGTTTTATTCCGTTTGGTTTAGGTATTAGTGAAAATCGGCCTAATTTTGGTACAGTTCGTTTAAAAAGAAACCAACTACTTGAAAAAACGATAAGTCTACCCGAACAGTACCAATATCGGGTAACCGAAGCTAAATTAAGAGCTTATTGATCAGTTCAGTTGAGAGAACCAAAATTAACCTGAATACTAAAAATCATGGTTCAGTTTCTCAATTGGTTATTTATCCTAGCCATAACCGAATATTTATCTTTCTGAAACTTATCATCTAAATCAATACAATAAAAACAAAACAAAATCTTTATAGTCTGCCACATCAGCTTTTTGGTGTTGTACTGTTGTTAGAAGTTGACACCTCAATTAAAAAAAACTAACCAACCTAAAATAAATAATTTATATTAGTTATGTACATGTCACATCAACTTTATGTTAGAAGACACCCCATTTTTAAAAAACACCCATTCAAATTAAAATATATAATACACATCAACATTTTAAAGTTTATGATAGTGAGTCACTATTAGTGACACATCACTACAAGAAAACAGCTGATTTACGACTGCAATATTAGTCGTAATGTAGTCGTTAAAAGACAAGTTACGACTACGTTACGACTATAAGCGGTAGTCGTAAATCGAGAGTCGCTAAATGTTATAGTCGTAATTTTAGTCGTTATTTACCGACTAAGTTACGACTATAGAGTGCAGTCGTAACAGTAGTCGTAACATAGTCGTTAAATTTAACGACTATGTTACGACTATGTTACGACTAATCTGCATATATTGTAGTGTAGTCGTAAAGATTATGGTGACTATTTTCCGACTGATTTACGACTGTTTGGCGACTATTTGGCGACTGTATTTAGAAGAAAAATGGCATAAATTTGTTCGATTTTCTATTTTGCATTGACCTAAAATGCTAAATTGAAAAACTAAATTGAAAAGTAAATAAGCTAAAAACATAGATTCACTTCATTTAAAAGAAACAAAGTTGAGTCATACGAAACAAAAAGAAGTCTTTAAAACAACTGAGAGAAGAACTTAGTTTATGTAGTTGGGGAAAGATTAAAAAGGAACCTAAACAAGAAGCTGATAGATAGGAGTTCAAGAAGTTGGGGGAAGACCGGTTGAGAGAGGCTCTGTGGTTTCTGCAGCCGAATGAGTCTTCATGAAGTCCAAAAAGGCCGGATCAGTTTGTCGGAGGTACTTCTCCACCAAGGACAAGTGCTCTAGCTTCTCCTTTTGCTCTTTTTCACGCCTTGTATTTTCAGCAGGCTGCTCTTCGATTTTTTTTTGAGCTTCCTTCAGTTGCTCTTGGATTGCCACAAAAGATGCAGAGTCTCCGGGTTGCTTGCGCTTGCCATTTTTAAGAATTCCCTTGAGGCTGCCAACTCCATAGAGAGTTCCTCTTGAATCCTTCTCAGTGGACTGTGAAATGACAGAGAAAAAGAATGTAGATTAGAACTCTATAAAAGTCAAAAAACAATATATGTGGATTGTGATAAATTGTACTTAACCTGAAGAAATATGGCTGTATATTCATCTGTTGTTAGCTCTCGAGGTCGTGAAGCGCCGTCCGAATCAGATGCAGTCTCTACCTCCAGCTCAGACAACTTCTGTTGCACATTCTTCTCATAAACCTTAGCTATTTTCTCTGCCTTCCCATCCACAAAAGAACCATCAGCCCTTGTATGAGTCTTAATGAAGACCTCACCAAGACTCACTGGTCTTCCCAATAGTTCTTCCTGCGATGTTTCAAAATATGTAATGATTAGCACAAAATCATAGAACAAAAGAGTGATAGAAAAAGACAGATATACTAACCAATTCGTATTGGATTTGCTGATATGACTTTGGCCCTGACAAGTGGATGTGAGGACCGAGACCATTACGGTCAGACATACGACACTTTGAATAAGTCTGACTCCTCTTCTGTGCTTCTTCAGTATCCCAATACGCAACCATTATTTTCCAGATATCTTCATAGATCCAGTCGGGTTTTTCACGACTCGTCCTCGCGTTGCTTACCATGTCCTTCATCCGGCGTCCACAGATTTCCTCGAACCACCATTGAACTGTCCCTGTTATCAAGGGATCCCAGGTGTGGGTTTTCTACAACACAAAGACATCAAGACCAGAGTTAGTGGAAGAACAAAAATGCAACCAGATTTGAAGGCTATAGGACATAAGACTTTACCGCAAACTCGAGGAAGTATCTTTCTTGTCTCTTACGAGGCACACAAGTCCAACTATAATAAGGACCATCAAATTTGTTAGTAAAGATTTTAGTAATCTTCCAAACAAGTCTTGATTTTTCATCGCGGTCAAACCTGCAGCATTTGTAAACAAGTGAAGAAGTTAATAGTATCAAACAAATCAAAACAAGTAAAGAAGTCAAAACAAATATCAAACAAGTCAAAACAATTCATAACAAGTATCAAACAAGTCATTACTAGTATGAAACAA